CCCCAAAACCCCAAAACCCCAAAACCCCAAAACCCCAAAACCCCAAAACCCCATATAAAGCCAAAAGTATTGAAAATTATAATTATCGCAAATAAAATGATTGGAAAATTTATTTTGCTGCTGATCTTTCTGCTGATAACATCAACTCATGGTCATGTCTGCTATAAACATGAGGGAGCTGACTGGGAAACTGGAGCCTGTGCATCAGGTAAGCCTCACTTTCTTTATAACGCTTCGTGTGCCTCCTCTATGGCTTTGCCCAACCAACTTCGCTTGTTCAAAGCCCATCTGAGCGAACTCGCTCATCATGGTCAAGTGGCTTGTCTTAACAATTGACTGACTCATTTTATATAGGTTCTCGTCAGAGCCCCATCAACATTGTGACGGCCAATGTCAGAGAAGCACAAGACGTCGAACTTTACATCTCAGGGACCGACATCACGACAGGCTCCATACACTACCACGACCACGAGCTCAAGGTCACTTATGCTGGAGCCACTGCGAAGTACACATCTGATGATGAAGAGAGCGAGTGGGCGCTAGCACAGTTCCATTACCATGCGCCAGCAGAGCACAGGATCGACGGGAAGACTCACGACTTGGAAATGCACAGTGTCTTCGTGTCTAAGACAGACCCAGGACAGTTACTAGTTGTAGGAGTAATCTACGAGCTTGAGCAAGGATATGAGGACGATGAGTTCATTGCCTCTCTTGCCTTGGAAAACCTCGTTTCTAATCCAGCCACAGGCCATATTGAGAATGTACCCATGGAGAACTTTTACAATAAGTTTAGTAACACGAAAATGTACAATTACAAGGGATCTTTGACTACACCTCCGTGCACTGAGAGCGTGGAGTGGTTTGTTGTCAAAGAAATCCAAAAAATCAACCCATCTCAGCTCGGAAAATTCACGGGCAAATGGGCCGGACTCAGCAGTTTTGCTGATGGTAAGGGCTCTAACAGAGTCGCCATGGACCTTAACAGGAGAAAAGTCTTCGAAACTGGAGGTGAGGAGACCACTAGTAGCATTGCTTTCTCATTCTTGTTTATTGCGTTCTTGGTAATTTCTGTCGTAGAGATTGGGTTAGCTGCCGTATTTACTCTTAAGTTGAAGAACCCTAAGAGTGTCCCATCCCAGAACTTCGTTAAGGTTGCTGAGAGCTCCGAGAATGAAGGGACGGATAAGCTAGATTTCGATTACAAATACTTCAAAAGAAGCAGAAGTAAGGAAATCTAAGCTGGTAAGATTGTAAGAATTTTGGATACTTTCCTCCTTACTTTTCAATTCTAGAAATAAAATTAGGGGTTTTGGGGTTTTGGGGTTTTGGGGTTTTGGGGTTTTGGGGTTTTGGGGTTTTGGGG